CAAGTGGGTGATGAAGAAATCAAAATTTGATCGCCCACATGGTGAACGTCTTGATCCCAGAACATGACCGTGCTTTGCTTGTATTTTTAAAATCCACTTCCTTTTTTTATAACAAACACTACGCTAACCATGACTTTTGGTGTTGTGTGCAAACTATTACATTTGTATACGATACAAGCAGTACGTTGCATGACCTAGACGTATGCTAAGTGCCTGCTCAGCATTTTCAAATATTTTGTTGATGAGGTACCGGTATGTGGGCCTGTAAATCACATAGTGGGCCCCTAAACTTTGAAAAGTAAGGGGCCCACATGGCTCCTATGATGTAAATGGTTAACCACAACTCTGTTAAAAGGAAGTCTTCCACACCAGAGTTTTTGAAATAAATAAAAATTCACTGGTCAAGTGGACCAGTGATTTGGTGAAATTCACCCGTCCATACAAATATTCACTGGATCATCAGCATACAGATATTAAAAAACCTGAAAATTGTTTTAATTCCAGTTGGGCCTTAAAAAATTAATGGGGTCAAACATAAAGACTGAGTTAACCAGGTAAGATATTTACAGTGGATACCCAACATGGCTGTCTACAGTAGAAAACAAAGTTCTAAATGTTGTGGGGAAAATGTTAATGTAACAATAAATTATTATTACTCTTTATATTTAAGGTAAATGATTATTAGGTTGACATATATTGCATCCCAAATAGAGCAATAATTAACTTTTTTTAAAATTATAATTGAATCAGCTGACTGAAATAACACAGATATCCATAAAAGAAAAAAATCACCCAGGAGTAATTTGAATGGAAAATGATTTTCTTCTACGGAATATATTAGGTCATGGCACTGCCATTTTATGAAAAATTAACTGTTTTAAAAGTCCTTCAGTTTATTCTATCACAGACACAGATTCAATCCTTTTGACAATCTCGCAAATTAACTAAAATTCCAGAGAAGTCATATTTTTTACATGAAGAAAATTACTGGACTTTTAAAATATTTAACAGTTTTGCCTGTGAGACCGGTGAACGGCTAGGAAAAAGCACATATCAGATCAGAACTGAAAGTTTACCGAGGTTGGGGGGGGGGGGGGGGGGGGGGGGAGGGAAGGGGGGCTTGAATTTTAATCCCTGTAGGGAGTCATGATTTGGACAAACTAGAATCAACACTACATGAGGAAGTACTTGAAAAGAAGATTTTAAAAGGTTTCCCCATATATTCCTATGTAAAAATTTGATTTGCCATTTTGGCCCCACCCTACCTCTCAGGGGTCACAATTTGTACAAACTTGAATCTACACTACCTGAGGTTAATTTCACATGAATTTCATCTTTCCTGTTTCAATGGTTCTTGAGAAAAAAATTAATAAAGATTTTCCAAGTTTCAGCTCGTTCTTGAGAAGAAGATTTTTTAAAGATTTGTTCTATATATTTCTATGTAAACCTAATATTTCCCTATTGTGGCCCCGCCCTACCCCCTGGGTCATGTTTTTAACAATTTAATATCTACACTACCCAAGGATGCTTCCACATAAGTTTCAGCTTTCCTGGCCCAGTGGTTCTTGAGAAGATTTTTTAATGACCCCTACCTATTTTTGTTCTTTCTTGATTAAATCCCCTTGTAAGGAGACTTGGACCTTTATTTTAACAATTTTAACAATTTAAACTCCCTTTTACCCAAGGATGCTTTGTACCAAGTTTGATTAAATTTGATTTATTGGTTCTTGAGAAGAAGTTGAAAATGTGAAAAGTTTACAGACAGACAGACGAACGGACAGACAGACTGACGGACGACGGACAAAATGTGATCAGAAAAGCTCACTTGAGCCTTTGGCTAAGGTGAGCTAAAAAGTTTACAGACAAACAGACGGACAGAGGGACTACAGACTACAGAAAATATTATTAGATAAGCTTCCTTGAGCTTTCAGCTCAGGTGAGCTAAAAACCCCATTCAAGACTGCTAAGGCCCCATTCAGCAGTCATATCTTTCCAGGAAGAACCAAGACCATAAGAAAATCCATGAAGAGAAAATTTGCCATGAACAATGATGCAGGACTGAATACAAGAATTCCTACAAACACCACCCTGGGAACTTACTTTTAATGAAGCATGCTCTGTCTACTGCTGTTGGTTCCATCATAACCTGCTACCAGGGACAGTGCGGAAATTCCTGTCAACATTATTCCTTTTCCTGTCATGGACTGAAAAGCAATATGTGGAAATCTTCAGTGTTTCCTAATGACTTTGAATTAAAACTAGATATCATTGAGATGGTGACCATCTCAAAGGGCCCCGCTTTCAACAATGAACATGAAATGTAAGATTAAAGCAATATGAGCTGCATGTTTGACATTTGAAAATTTTATTTAAAATTTGTAATCAACTAAAAGATAATTTATTTATAAACTTCTGTTGCTCATATTTGCAATGGATTTTAATCATTGATCATAAAAGTTTAAATTACATACAAATTGATCATAATAGCACATTTTACAATAAAAATAAAATTCTCAAAGATACAGCTCATATTGCTTTAAGTTTAAAAGGTATATTTTGAAAAGGAACATTTGGTATGACTTCACAGATACTGCAATTTTACAGATATAAGTTTCTTGTAACTTCAGTTATATAAATTTACTGGTATTAAGGGATCACCAAGCAAAGATTTTAAACAAATTGACTATGACCTAGAAATTGATTTTTAATTAAAGTCACTACACATCCATGAAGTGGCAAATGAAAAATGAGCCAGATTGGGCCAAGGAGAGAGAGGAAATGCTCCAAACAAGGATTTTTCATATAAGTTTCTGCTATGACCTTTGAAAGAAACATTGTTCAAGGTCACTGCACATGGGTTACCCAAGCACTCTGTGGGTGAAGTATTTGGTAGACTTCACAGATCAATTTTACAGATATAAGTTATCTTGTATACTCAGTTATATAAATTTACTGGTATTAAGGGAAAAAATTATGCACCAAGCAAAGATTTTAAACATAGAGGCTAATTCTGACTATGACCTAGAAACTTCGAACAATTAAAGTCACTACACATCCACTGACCAGTGGCACTCTGTGAGTGAAAAATGAGCCAGATTGGGCCAAGGAGAGAGAGGAAATGCTCCAAACAAGGATTTTTCATATAAGTCTGCTATGACCTTTGACTTAGAAACATTGTTCAAGGTCACTGCACATGGATTACCCAAAAGCACTCTGTGGGTGAAGTATGAGCCAGATTGGACCAAGGGGAGAGAAGATATGCTCTGGACAAGGATTTCTCACACAATTCTGCTATGACCTTGACCTTTGACCTAGAAACATGGTTAAACGTCACTGCACACCGGTTACACATGGGCACTTTGTGGGTGAGGTATGAGCCAGATTGGGCCAAGGGGAGAGAAGATATGCTCCAGACAAGGATTTTTCGGACGAGGGTTTTTCGGACAAGGATTTTTCACACAATTTTGCAATGACCTTGACCTTTGACCTACAAACATGGTTCAAGGTCACTGTACACCAGTTACCCAAGGGCACTTTGTGGGTGAAGTATGAGCCAGATTGGGCCAAGGGGAGAGAAGATATGCTCCGGACAAGAGATCTCGGACGGACTGACGGACAGACTGATCACTATAGGGCGCCCACCGAGGCCCTAATGACAGGAAAAGACAAATATTTCTTAAAAGACTGTAAAAATTTGACTTTAAGACAAAGTAATCTTAATATATCATACTTTTACACAAAAATCTGAATCTGTAAATAGGGAATATTTTAAATCAAATCCAAAATGTATTACAAGTAGTAGAAATTTTGAAATTAGAATACATAAAGTTGTACACTCACTGAATAGGGGTCATGGAAACTCAACACTGGAACTTTGTGAATCTGTAGGGGCACCTGTTGTAAAAGGAAGTAGAGTGGTCCATCATCTAAAACAACAACAAAATAGACAAAATTACTTTAAATTGAAACAGAAACTGTTAAAAAATAAATCTTAAGAAAATACTACAGAGATTTCACCTATGGAGATAAAATTTTTAGACACTTACAGTAAATTATTAACAGATCAAAATTTTTAAAGGAATTTAAGTTGCAAAACTGTGAAGAGGGGGGATGGGGGTGACTTGATGATTTGTATGTCAAATGTATGAAAATTGTATATAAAATACATTTTGTGAATTGTCTAACATGTAATAAGTAATGCTATGTTTTATTATGCACTGAATATTTTCAACTGTATAAATGGAAAAATATGGACATGTAAATAATGTATTATCGTATGTGTAAAATGTAACATTTTCTTATATGAGAGAGTCTATACCCGTAAAAATGTTATATATTTTTTATTAAAAATCTTATTTTTCTAAATACCTGTGTGATAAACACAACAAAGATTACAGAGGTGATTGGTAGAAATGAGGGTGTACGGGTGTAAACTCTCTGTTGATGACCAGACTGCTACATTGTTTATCAGCCATTATTGATCTTTAACAGGAAAGACTCTCCTAAAATCAGATAAATTGTAGTCAAAATGAGTAGGGCTGGGCAATAATATGAATATTTCAATATAGTACAATACAATGATAAAATATATTGTATTGCAATACGATTTTGTAATATTGATATATTGGGAAAATTAATTTTATTTTAATGCTTCAAACAGAAAATCAAATTTTGATCAATTAATTTATATCCACAGGGCCATTTTATGCATAAATAACCGATTTTCTTTCACCTAGAATAAAATTTTTAACATTAAATAAATTATTAACAGATCCAAATTTTAAAAGGAATTTAAGTTTTCATTAATGATTTTTATGTCAAATGTATGAAAATTGTATATAAAATACATTTTGTGAATTGTCTAACATGTAATAATTAATGCTATGTTTTATTATGCAGTGAATATTTTCAACTGTATAAATGGAAAAATGTGGACATGTAAATAATGTATTATCGTATGTGTAAAATGTGACATTTTCTTATATGAGAGAGTCTATACCCGTAAAAATGTTATATACTTTTTTTAAAAAATCTTATTTTTCTTACCTGTGTGATAAACACAACAAAGATTACAGGGGTGATTGGTAGAAATGAGGGTATACGGGTGTTAACTCTCTGTTGATGACCAGACTGCTACATTGTTTATCAGCCATTTAAATATTGATCTTTAGCAGGAGAGACTCCTCCTGAAATCAGATAAATTGTAGTCAAAATGAGTAGGGCTGGGCAATAATATGAATATTTCAATATAGTACAATACAATGATAAAAAATATTGTATTGCAATACGATTTTGTAATATTGATATATTGGCAATATACTTAGATTAAGGAATTAAGGTTTTCATTAATCTTAATGTGACAAATTAAGAAAAGCCTACTAAATTTTCCGCAGCAGGCTGATAATTAATCCCAAGGGATTAATTATACCTATCTCATCATTTTCTTCTAAAGTTACAATAAGAACTTTTTCAGTATTAATGATAGAATGGGATTTTTATACAACTACCTTAAAAATTAATAATATTCTTGAATTTACATAAAAGGAAAAAAAAGTAAAAAATATAAAAATATTTTTTAATCGAAATAAAAAATTTATTTAATCTATTTATTGTTTTTAGAATTCTATGAAATCATAACTATTTTAACAAAAATAAAGTATAAACATTTATATTTAAATCAACATTTCAGAGTGTTCATAACATTCCAAATTGACTTAACTTCAAAATAAATTTCATTTGCAGACAGAAGTGGTAATTCATCTCAATGTGACAGATAAAGATAATGCTCTGGATTTTCTTCAGGAGGAAAGCTAATTAATCCCAATGGACTCATAGCAGCAATCGGTTTACAATGGGAACATCTTCAGCAGTTATCTCTCTTTGCCATTGCATTCTTATATAAAGTTAAGGAATCTATCCCACCACCCCAGCACTAAACCAGGGGACATAGAGTAACAAACCTAGCATCAAAGTATGTCTTTTTGCCAATTGAACTACCACCATTCCAAATTTGATCTTAATTGGGCAACCACAAAAAAAGTTATTAGGAAAAAACAGAAAATTTGTGGACAGAAGAATGACAGACGGACAGACAGAGTGATTACTATAGGGCACCCGCAAATCCTTGCGGGGCCTTGATTAAATTATTTAATTAATTAGACTCTCAGCAGATAATTCATGAAAGAGAAAATAAAGATTAATGAGTGAACAAAAATTTGATATCAGAAAAAATATGCCTTATGTGGCTTATAAGAAAGAAATTTGACAGTAAACATACCTACCCCAAAATGTGTGTGGGATTCACATGTTGATGAACAGCCTACAAACCATCCAGAGATTGCATCATGTGGCTGTGCACCTGAAAAAAGAGTTTCCTTTAATTCAGTGGGATTATTCTGCACAAGATATGATATCCACAGTACATGAGTCTTGGCATATTTACATGTATATATATATTGCCGGCTTACTTTTTTTTATGTTTTTATTGAATTTATTTTGGACTGATAGAAATCTGTCTGGACTGACAAACTTCTCATGGCAGTCGGTCTGTGCTCCTCTTTTGCATTACGGGATCTGCAGCTTATGGTCAAAGACAAATATAAAATCATAACGCTACGATCTGCAGCTATAGACTTGAATAACCTAGGCCTAATTAAATTCATAATGGGGAGCAATATTTATGAGACAGGACCCCACCCCCCCAAAAAAAAGGGACTCAGGAAAGAACCGTTCATAAATTTTAAGCATGACCTACTTACAAGATTTATGGTAAAAGGCTCTATATTAAACCACTTTTATTTTTAATTCTTTCAAATAAAACGATGAGAACATTGTTTGAGCACTACACCGTCACCAAGTTATCACCTTTTTTTTTAATTATTAGCTTTAAAGCCGACCCTTCCCATGTTTGTTCATATCTATCTGAGAATATTTTACTATTTCTTTTCAAATTATTTTATTTTACATTGTTAAAATAGATTCACCTGTAGCTATCCTCTTGCTCAATCTTTTGTTGTGACTGTCGTTTGATCCTTACTTCCCGCGCTTCCGCATGAATGGGTTTGACATTTCGATCCCGATGCATTTTAAACATGCAAAAAAAAAAAAAAAAAAAAAAAAAAAAAATACTTAGTCATGGTAATTGCAAGTTGAATTGAATAGATGTTAATCTTCAAATTTAAAAATGATTCCCCATGACGTCTTTCTCACAAACTGCTTTTGCCAAAATATATTTTGGTTGATTTTTTTTTTTTTTTTATTTTATTATGATAATTTGAAAAATTTTGAACGACAAAATTACACAAACCTGAAATATAGAAATACTATAATTACATACTGTTGACAAGTATCACAAGAGGATCCTGGAATTATTCAAAAGGGGTTGGCCCACAGCATAACCTGATAACTGAAATATATGGGGAACTGAAATTTTGTAACAAAAACAAACTACAATGGTCAGTAAACAGCTTCTGGGATTGTTTTAAATTAGATTGTGATGTTGACATACACAAAAAATAAATTTACCTTCTAAAGTTGAATATTTTTACATTGGTTTAAGTCTTAATGACTACTTTTTTTCAATTGTTAAAGTCTTATAATCCCCCCCAAAAACAAACACTTTCATTTATTTAAAAACTGAAAAAAATCGGAGGGTATAAAATAGCCATTTACTTTTAATTTGAGCCGAAATCAGTGCGGGAGTAAATACTCCCGCAGCTGCACCATAGAAAATCCTAAGGAGTAGCCCTCCCCAAAGACAAAAAAAAAAAGGGAGAGGGTATACATTTTTTTAAACACTTTTAGTAAACCCACCCCCCCCCTTATAAAAAAACCATCAGGAAAGAGAACCCATAAATTTTAAGCATGACCTACTTACAAGATTTATGGTGAAAGGCTCTATATTAAACCACTTTTATTTTTAATTCTTTCAAATAAAACGATGAGAACATTGTTTGAGCACTACACCGTCACCAAGTTATCAAAAATTTTCTGTAAATTACCCTTCCCATTTTGTTCATATTTTGAGAATACATTCAAATTATTTTATTTTACATTGTTAAAATATATTCACCTGTAGCTATCCTCTTGCTCAATCTTTTGTTGTGACTGTCGTTTGATCCTTTCTTCCCGCGCTTCCGCATGAATGGGTTTGACATTTCGATCCCGATGCATTTTAAACATGCAAAAAAAAAAAAAAAAAAAAAAATACTTAGTCATGGTAATTGCAAGTTGAATTGAATAGATGTTAAATTCAAAGATTAAAAATGATTCCCAATGATGTCTTTCTCACAAACTGCTTTTGCCAAATTATATTTTGGTTGATTTTTTTCGAATATTTTTTTATATTTTATTGATGATAATTTGAAAAATTTTGAACGACAAAATTACACACACCTGAAATATAGAAAGACTATAATTACAGACTGTTGACAAGTATCACAAGAGGATCCTGGAATTATTCAAACGGGGTAGGGGTTGGCCCACAGCATAACCTGATAACTGAAATGAAATGCATGGGGATTGGAACTTGAATTTATCACAGGTTAACAAGAAACAAACACATTGATGTTCAAGTAAAACAGCTTCTGGCGATTGTTTTATAATATAGATCAGCTGTAGATGTAGTGCTCCAGTAGCACACATAGAAAATTTGCGAGGAGCACTTACTTTTAAAGTTGAAGGGTATACTTTTACACTAGGACAATGCACAGGTGCTTGAGGACAGCCCCCCCCCCCCATAAATAAAGACCCGCGGTCCCTTTTCGATTTTTTCCCTAAACTATCTTTTAGTAAATTATTTGTCTTGTAATCCATACCATCAGAAAAAAAACCCAAAAAGTTACAAAAACAAACACTTTCATTTATTTAAAAACTGAAAAAAATCGGATTAACCCACTCTATATAATAAAACGAGTCATCCTTACATTTGTAAGTGGGTTATGGGGGATATTGGGTTTTGTCCCCCCCCCCCCCCCCCCACCCCCACCCCGCGGTCATTCGAAATGCTACTAAAATACATGTAATTTCAATATCATTACATCGGGATGTTTACAGTTGACATAGATACAAAATAGTTGAAAATATTTTCGGTCATTTACTACCGCTCACACATTTGAATGAAAAAGTACTAGTAATACAGTGAACAAAAATACAATAAAATAAGGAAACAGGCTGTTCTTCTCTAACGTATATAGACTTTCTCTAACAGCGATCAAACTTCTGACAAGATAAACTATTCAAACACTCTAATGCTAACGTCTCACCTGAACACACACACAAGTAATTCACAGATGAGTGCCTGCCAAGATACACTGATAGAACGAATGTTAAAAGTACATTAAACATAACTTTAAAATACTGCAAAATATACTCACCTGGGTCTGTTTCCCGTGCAGAAAAGTACAAATTGGTTATTGTAAACCTACAGTAAGTTTCAGGTATATGCTGGTGCAAAAATTAACAAATTCTACCCTGTCCCATAACTCTGTGTCTTGCACGCTGGACAGCTCTGCCGGGAATGACCTCAAGCTATTGTTACCCGTCGGCCAAAATTTTGCAAAGAATCCTGGGTGCTAACGGTGAGGTGTTTGAAGGGTAATTCTTGCAAACAAAACAAGGGGTACCCAAAAGGTTTAACTAGTGATTGTTACAATATGTACGCTCACAAATCACGTGCTACTCACATTAGTTTCAGAGTTAGCTCGATACAATAAAGAGCATTGAAGTGGTAATTTTTCTTCTTCAGAATCTTCTCCTTATCGAACGTCATTATTGACTGTTTACCTTGTAGTCATTAAATAAGTGCATACTGATACGCAATTTTTATTTTTTTATAATGAAAGTTAAGGTTTCTTTTTAGTATACAGTGAGATATGTCATTTTTAAAGCGTGCATAAAATCGAATTTTTGTGAAATTCTAGTGTATATGAAGAAGAAAGGTGGACAAAAAACTAAAAATTAACACTGCACACTGAAACAAAATGTTACGAGAAAGTTCCAATTTCCTCGACAATACATTATATAGAAAAAATACAGTATCCTTGACCCAAGCGCCTATGAAAATTTCATATAGGCTACATTAACCCATTTACAGTAAATTATTCAAAATGCCGGGGGAAGGGGGGTTATAATAAATATATTATATTGGCCATGGTATACTTGTATTTCCGTTTTTCTTTGCTATTAAGCGCTTATAAAGCAAAATATAAGAATGCAAAAATAATTGTAGCTGCAGAACTGTAGCTCCCCGAAAAAAAAATTGACAGACCGGAGAGCTACAGTGCCACTGACCCATTGAAAAAACTGTATATTTATTGCGCACAAAAAAGTGCGCTGTTTCTCGATTTATTTTTCCATGTTTTTAAAACTATCATCTCAAAGAAGGATATGGAGATAACGAACAGTATTCAATCTCAAAGTCCATAAAACAATACAAAATTAGAGCAGAACAATCATCGAAAATTACGTCTGTTTATACTGCCATTTTGGTTTGAAAGATAATTCGGTCCGACGCGCTTCGTGCAGATGTAAACTACGAAAGTAATTGATAGAGAAGTAAGGACCTTATTGAAATCTAACTTTTTTGCAAATGAGGTAAGAATTTGGAAGAATGAATCTAGAACCGAGCGCACTTTTTTGTGCGCAATAAATATACAGTTTTTTTTTTCATTGGGTGGCACTGTACCTCTCCGGTCTATCAATATACATATTTTTCGGAGAGCTACAGTTCTGCAGCTGTAATCATTGTAAACAATATCTACACTTGTAACTCTCAGGTTACAGAATAGACATTATGTGGCAAAAAAAAAACAAAATAAAAGTGAAGTCTTTAGCTTGTTTAGATTCCAGATATCACTTTCACAATTACTTGAAACATTTGAATGCATATAAGTAAATCTGAAGAATCCATTACTGAAATACTTCGAATAACGAACAGTACCGACCAGACGCAACCTGACAGAAAGCAGTCCCAGAGCACTGCTTTCTGGGACTGCTTTCTGTCAGGTTGGGTCCGGTCAGTACTGTAATTGCAAATTTAAGCCCCCCCCCAAAAAAAAATGGGCATTCGGCTCGTGTTACATGTAACCCCTCCCAGGATTGAAAAAAAATCTTTTTCTCAAAAACCAATGGTCAAGATCAGCTGAAACTTACGAAAAAGTATCCTGGGGTGGTGTAGATTCTACATCTTCCAAATTATGAACCTTAATAGCTAGGGCAGGGTCATAATAGATACAATGTATTACAAAGGGAAATCTGGTAAAGAATATCATGGCCAAAGTTACTCAGTTGAACGAATGTGGCCCATGGGCCTCTTGTTATTTCATTTATAAAGTAATTTTGATTATTTTGTTGTCGTTTAAGACGATTAACCATGCAGTCCACTCTTCTCTTTTTACAACAGGTGCCCCTACAGATTCACAAAGTCCTACATCGTCTCAAGCCGTGGTTCGGAGTCCGCTCTCTCCTAGACGGCCAGACTGGGAGAGGATCATACATTTTGGCCGTGGTTTGCGACGATGTGTAGCCTATAGGACATCTTCTTGTGAAAATAGTTCTTTTATTTCATAAATTACAATACGATCCCTGAAAGCAATTATTTATTACATGTATCTTGAGATCAAAGGGGTAAAAAGGGGTAAAAACTATTTATTTTGAGATTTTCAATCTTTTTCATGCAAAATGTTGTTTGAGCAAATTCATTCATTTTTTTTTCTTCAAGGTTTTTACACAGCAGTCAGATTTACACTAAAGGTAGCTGTGATCACTGCAGCTCACTAAATGATATACTAGTACATGTATATCCCCACCTTCAATATATGGCAAAATCCATGTATTGTTCTCAGAGTGAACCCTCGGAGGGGTCCCTAGTATTATATTCTGAACCAGAAGTCTCTGTCGAGACTGTAGCTCTACTGGTTTGTACGTATAACAAAGGATGAGAAAAGAAGCCATTGCCATCAGACCACAACTGTAGAAGGAGTAGCTTTTTAAAGGAATTTCACAGACATTTCTATTTTTAGTAACCATGGCAACACCTTTCATCAAAATCAAAATCTGATGCACTATTCTATGTATC